GGATGATTACTATACCTTTCTAATGTGACGTTGTTGTCCCTAGCTCTCTTTCTCTCTGGCTCTGTTCCTGTGCTACTGTAACTAACGCCCCTCCCCCCTCTGCCCAGCGCAAAGTACAGGCCGCGCATGCGGAGTTTAGCGGAAAAAAGGGCGAGAGAGAGGGTGAGAGAAAGAAAAAAACCCAAAAAACCTCACGGCTCCCAATAAGGAGCCGGCTCACGTAGTTCACTTCAAAGAGCCGGCTCTAAGAGCCATTTCGTTCGCGAACGACCCATCACTAATAAACGGTGCTCATATTTTGGCTAAACATTGCTCTTTGTTATACTGGCTGCTGCCTGCTCCACTCAGTTTGTAGAGCGTGCTGCACACATACAGACAGAGTCTTGTTAATTTGGCTTTTTGAGGATATTTATTTACATCAATGCATTCCCAATCTTTTTAACCACAAATTTAAGTCCCAAACTCTAACCTAGAACCACCTAGATCCACCTTTAACCCTCCAACCAGGCCTTCAAAAGCGAAAAAAGCCATCCATGATGTTTTCGATTTTACAAAATATAATCACCCAGATGGTCTAAAACTCTCTTAAAGACAGCTGGACATGTCTCCAACTTATTTTATTCTGTGTCAGGACCATATGACTAATAGTATGATCTCAGATGACCAATCTGTGTGCATCATCACCTTTGTTTGTAGATACTGTGATGGTCTATAAGGTCCCATTTTAAAGCCTCAAGATAAGCTTTTTTTCCCCAGATGTGGTAATGAGTGGCAGATGTGACAATGAATAGATAATTCTCATTTCTTAAATTTAGAATAACCAAAATTTACAAAGTGGACTAAATATATTATTCATTATGATCCAAAAAATGAGTGACTGAGCCCATAAATCAATCAAGTGTTCACCAGCAGATGTCTATATGAGCATAAGATATTTTTGCAACTCCAGCTATATTTAAAATAGAAAGCAAGCTTAAAGCACTTCTATGTAGACTTCTGTAATGAAACTCCTCTTTTATCTACACATGTATAAAAAGGTCTTCTTCCTGTCCTTATCATATACCCTGCACGACTGCTGCTTAGGCCTCAGCCACACAGGCTCAGAGACTGGTTGGCAACTTCACAACAACTTCCAATTGCTAAGAAAAAGCATAAAAAATGATATAGTAATTAAATAGTTTTCTCTAACCAATCGGTGAGTGGTTGCTGGTTGTTGCTGGGTGAAATTGGTCACAAAGAGCGTGCTGCACCAAAAACCTCCTTGTGATTGTTTTGGTTCCTAAAAAGTTCCCTATAGTCTGCATAGAAGATGTGAAGATGAGCATGTAAACACTTGCTAACTAGTATCCACCATGAGGTAGTAAAACCTGAAAAGGTTTGGTGCAAACCAGAAACGCAGCCGCCTCCCATGCAAACGACAGATGATTGCGGAAATCTTTTAGTGACCAAAGTAATCACAAAGTGGTTTTCAGTGTGGCACCATGTATCAGCCAGCCAGCAACCACTCACTTAATGGTCAGGAAATTCAGATTTTCCCTAGCAACTAGAGGTTGCCAGGTGGTCGACATAGTCCAAAAAGAAGTGAAGAGAGCGTTCATAGAGGAA